CCCTTATAAAAGAAGCAAGACACATTTTTCTAAGGCTCTAATATCGCGCGTATACATGCGCATTTCTTTCTTCTTTCTCTTCGTGATTCTCCTTATATGAATGTAGTTAAATTGCGACGCCGAAAACCGAAGTTAAGAATTAAGCTCGATCACACCGAGCCGCGCGGCGACAGACGCGTGCAAATCATAAAATCATAAGTCAACGGCGCGCACTCGTGCGGCGCGACTCGGATCTCGGCGGGGATCTTAAATCTTAACTCGGGCTAATCGTCGATACCGGAACGCAGAGACGTCCGCCTTAGATGGTGCTTCATTTCTGCCACTCGATTATCTTTACAAGTCAATTTTGGGACAAGCGTGTAACGTTGTTAAATTAGCAATTGTTGCGGCACGCCAAAGATTCGCCGATGTAAGGTAGCGATTTTAGTAGTTCGTGTTGCGAAGCCATCGAAAGTGTTCCGTCGCTGCGTTCCATGGGATAAATTGTCAAATTTCTCGTCTATTCACTTTATGAAAAGGGGAGTATATAAAAATAGAAAGAAAGCTACATATTTGAAAAAGATGAATAGGTGTTCGTTTTACCAAGGATTAAACAAAATCTCAATGATTATCAATTAAAGAGCACTATGATACTATCTTGGATTGTCGTACGCCAAGTACCTGAGAAGAACTGCGCGATCTCCTCTTTCGAGCAGCCAAACGGCAAGCCGCGCAATCTCACGCAACCGTCGTCCATCGCGTTCTCCAAATTGAGGCCGCTCCTCTTCACGACCCATTCCATCTCGCCGCGCTTTGCTTTAAAAACTGAAACGGCAACGGATACATAATTGTTACAACAATTCAGCCACACGGTTAATTTAACGTCTAAACTCGTTTAACACATTCTACAAATATCAGCGCATAAAGATAAGAAACTGCCCTGCATTTCGTAAGATTTTCACTCTACAAGCTCTGCGGCTCCTTTTTAAGCTGGTTCTACGGTAGACGCAACAAGTCGCAAGAAATCAACCAATCGCAGCCAAATATGAGAAGAATAATCGACTGTTATTGGCCGATTTCTTGCGGCTTGCGACTTGTTGCGTCTATTGTAGAACCAGCCTTACGCTTTCTCTTTTGTTCTATAGTGCGACATAGCTTGTAGAGACACAGGCCGGTATTCATAGTCAGATCTTATATTCAAGACCGTCTTGAGTTTATCCAAAGATGCTGTATGGAACATTTCATTGGCTACGGAGTATAGGCCTGAGCAGACTGGCTGTCTTGTAATTCTTAAGTCATAAGACAGTTGTTGTGCGTTACTTTAAGACAAAGATTTAAAACATAAAACATTGTCTTAAGAGTACAAGACAGCCATTCTGCTCAGGTCCTATCTAAAGACGATCTTAAGACAGTCTTGAACATAACATCCGACTATGAATACCAGCCAGTGTTACAGAGCATTTTTTTACAAATGAAGAACCATAAAGGCCTGCGTCCACGATGCTAGAACTTGGTCCAAGGTCTAGTTTCAAGAAATATGTAGCCAATCGAACTCACAGCTATTCCATAAAAGCTGCAAGGTGATTAGCTACATATTTTTCAGAACTAGAACCTGGGCCAAGTTCTAGCATCGCGGACGCAGGTCCTAAGAGAAATTCCAGATACAAATACGCTGAAGAATTAATCTCGATGTGTATAAATGGATGAACCTTCGATGTAGCGGTGGCCCATGTGATCCCTGTCTCTCTTGCAGGCCTTCTCGATGTCCTCCGGAGTGTCCATCTCCACGTAGGCCTCGCCGCTGGGGCGCCCCTCGCGGGACGTCGTCATGTGAACACCGTTCTTGCCATTCGAGATCGAGCAGTCGCCGAAGAACTTCATGATCTCGTCCACGGTGGTGGACCAGGGCAGCCCGCGCATCTTGATGACGTAGCCCTCCTCCTCGTGATCCCCGCTGCCGCTCGACATGATTCCAATCTAACACAGTCTTGCTACCAACTCTGATGCCTGTAAATACCAAGGCGAGATATATCTCGCGATTAGCTCTCGACGTAACGAGGCGACGCCGGTTGTACGACAGAAATGAGATTCGAGCGCGCAGAGTATCGGCTGCTCTCGCAGCGGTCGAGACGCCGAGTGCGTCGCGTTCACGTCGACGTCCCGACAATCGCGTTAACGCGCGCGAAACATACGCCGATCGTAAACAAACGTAATAAAAAAAAAGGGGGGAGGCGAGATTAAAACAAACACCGGAATAAGGAATCCCCGTCAACTCCGAGTCGCTTTCGGGCGCAGAGTCTACCGATGCAGATCAATTTTAATCTCCATTTGTCTTTCATTCTTTTCTAGTTCCAAAAGCGAGGGGATAAAAAGCAAGTTGAACCGAGCTCGAAGTTAATCTACGGTCCACAGCGATAGAAACGGACACGAAGAGAAACGCGAGGTGTACAAGGTTAAGCGCCATAATATTGACAGGCAGACCGGGCGAGATGAGGCGAGGCGAGGTTTGGTCGTCCGGTCGGCCGGGCTCGGTGCGTCCGCTTTCGATCGACTCGAGCGCGAGGATTACGCGGCGGGGCCGCGAGGTCGAGAATCCGACCGCGTCAGCCGCGTCGCGCGCAGCGGCGGAGAAGGCAAACGCGCCGGGAATCGACGGCCGGGCAGTTTCGTCGGCGGAGAACGCCGCCGCCGCGAGACGCGAGCGGCGGTCGATGACGGACAAGCGGATCCGCGGGAGGCGGACCCTCGCTCGACTTACCGCCGCGGGGGCGTCGAGGCACGCTCGTCCTCGAGCGCGAGGTCGATCGCTGGCGATCGGTCGGAGAGACGCGCCGGAAAGTCAACGAGCACCGTCCTCGGAATCGGCTCCTCTGCGAGCCGACACCGCTGAAGATTCGTGAACAAAATGGCGCGCAATGGCGGCGCGTTTAATAATCTCTCGGTCCGCTCGCGCGGACGACCGGGCCGCGTTTCCAACGCACGACTCGCGTAGTAGGGCTGCACGAAAGCGCGTGCGCTAGTAGCCCTTGGTCCACAATCTTGCCGTAAGAAATTAACCAATCACAGATGAGAGTGAGGGGAATAAATGCCTGTGATTGGTTAACCACTCAGCACTTAAAGCCTCCGCTACAATGATTCTCGTTTCTGTCTACAATGGTCGTAGTCGTAAGAATAAGTCCCAGTCTACAATAGAGGATTTAAGCACTATGCTTTAAGAAATTGACCAATCACGGTCAAGTACGAGTAGAATACGCGATTGTGATTAGTCAATTTCTTAAGGCTTAGGGTTTAAATCTCTATTGTAGACTGGGACTAAGTCCCAGTCTACAATAGATGATTTAAGCCCTAAGCTTTAAGAAATTGGCCAATCACGGTCAAGTATGAGAAGAATGCGCGACTGTGATTAGTCAATTTCTTAAGGCTTAGGGCTTAAATCTCTATTGTAGACTGGGACTAATCGACTGCGATTGGTCAATTCTTACCCCTGGTCCACAATCTTGCTTTAAAGCCTCCGCTACAATGATTCTCGGTTCTGTCTACAATGGTCGTAGTCGTAAGAATAATCGACTGCGATTGGTCAATTCTTATTGAGCGACTACGACTACGACCATTGTAGACAGAACCGAGAATCATTGTAGCGGAGGCTTTAATGTGTTTTCAACCAATCGCAGAGCCGTATTAGCGATTCGCTCATATTTGACGCCGACTGAACGTATTTTTAAATAATTTCTATATGCAATCGTTTGTATTTCGTATGTAGACGTTTGCAGTGCAATTAAAAAGGTTTGTGAGTGTATTTTAATTAAATATTTATTAAATAGAAGTTAGCCGGATTCAAAATTTCATTGATTTCCTAACTATGATACTGAATGATTTAAGACATAAGAATTGCTTGTCACGCCATTTCAGGACGTCTAGACCGAGGGGTTGTGAAAATAAAAATTTTGTTAGGTGTACAAATGAATAATCCAAATTATCTTAAGCAGTTATGAAATCAATTTTAAATTGAATAGATTTTCCCGCTCTTTTGTGTTTATACAATGTTGACATATAACTATTAAAAAGAACATATAGTTTGGTGAAAGGCCCAACGTAACCTTCAAAAGTATTCAGTTCAGTACAGTCGAAAATGGCAACAGATAAGGTGCATATCCGACACTGCATTCTTTACGAATTCCGGGAAAGTCTACACGTGCTACACTGATGGGTGCTGGGACAGTCGCCCTTGGGTGACAGAGTCCGCACCAGTGACGTTTTCTCAAAACAAGCTGGTGTTGTGATTGTTTCCCGGGAAGACTGAGCTTTCTTCCGGGAAAGAGTCTACACGTGCTACACTGGTGGGTGCTGGGACTGTCGCCCTTTTTTTTCCTCCGAGAGTAGGGGAAAATGCTTTATGCATTTAACACAGGGCAGCCGGACCCTGTGGATATGCCGGACTCGTCCGATAAGCGGAGATACCAGGCTAAAAACCCCTCTCTATGGTCCTTCCTCCGCACTATAGACGGGACGCCCCCGGAACCACCCACAGAGGCATTGCATCGGAAGCGGAACTGTCGCCCTTGGGTGGCAGAGTCCGCACCAGTGACGATTTCTCAAAACATAATAATAATAATAATAATAGAATGCCAGAAATAATATATTTAATATCGATATCTATATTAACAATGAGCCATAAGTAAATAACTAAATAGATAATGCATAATATATAATAGATATATGTATTAAATCATTGTAATGTAATTTTTGTATCTCAGTTATGTCCGTTATTCCGAATAATTGTATTTCGAAATCCTTACAGTACAAAAAGAGCTCTTTTGATGTAAAACGAGTTTTTTTTGTGCCTCGAGCTCTATAAATAAAAATAGTGCAGATAAACGAATTAGCATAACACTAAATTGATACAATAATACAAAGAAAGGTAAAATTGACCACTATTTTTGAAACAACGAAAAACATTGCAAATGTAGCAACACTTACCAAGAAGTATCGCGAAAGCAGTAGCAGCATCCCTTTTTGTGTACATCGTCTTTGGAATAAGATCACTGAATTTGACAAGCTCGTTGTCACGCCATAAAGCTTGTAATAGAGCATACAACTCTTGGCTCGTCAGTTCAGGCTGCGAGGAACCGCGAGAGCTAACAGTAAAAACGATATTTTTATTATATGCCAAATAATTCTTTAAACGGTAGATATGTGATAACAATATGCTAAGTTTCGTAGAAAAGAACTAAGCAAGGTTTTCAGATTATGACAAAGCAATAAGTTTTATTCCTTTCTCAAACTGTCAATTAATGAATTTCATATTTTGTCAATATCCATTTACGAAAGTTCGAGTATACACTTAGAATATTGTTATGTCCAGCTGTTTATTTATATGAAATAATTTCATTTTTATATGAAATATTTGATGTGATGAATGATGTGAAATGAGTGAAAAAATGAGTGAAAATGATGAAATGAAAAAATTTATATGAAATAATATCATTTAATAACCAGATACTGAAATGAGAAATTAAAGTGTTAATAGAGCATAAAATAGCAAAACACAGAAGAAAGATTGAGCAATTGAGGAAATATTGAAAAAGTAATAAGTAAAACAAGTAAAATTGAATAATTCTTAATAATTGCCTTTCTAATTCAATAAGCTCTTGAGTATAAATTTTGTATTCATGACAGACTATTACCCAGTGTCTTCTAGAGTAATCGTATCATGTACCACCTCCGGTACCAGTGGCACGTCCACATCCATTTCGACCGGGCTCTGGCTGGCTGACCTCGAGACGCGTCTGCCGCTGGCGTTGCTTGACGTCTGCACCGGGGCCTGCGACGCCCGGCTACCGCTGCGGCTCGATCTCAAGGACGCGGAAGCATTGTCGGACTCCGAGCCTGAAAGGCAAGATCGCAAGGGGGTTCGACGTGAGATAACCTCGAATGGAGTATCGCCGTACGCCAGTCGCGCTTAGTTGTGAACGCCGCGTCCCAGTGAGAAATAGTTCATCGATTGACGTCGAAATGATGTCGAATCGACGAATCATTTCTCACTGGGGTGGCAGGGATGACAGAGACATTGTATCCGTTGATACTACGTACCGGACTCGCTGCTGGAATCGCGCAGACTTTCTCGTACCGGTGACATGTTTACCATGCGCTCGAGGTTCGAGAGACGGCACGCGCGAGTCGCACGTAGAGATTCAGCGGCGCATACTGCAGAGAAAGAAACGATACTTTTACCCACTTACT